GATCTATTATTTAACACACACATGTGATTATTACTACATATATATCCAAGGATGTAGAACTCGCTACTCGGTACTTGCTCAGCCGAACGGCGAGTAAAGAGTACTCGGGAGTACTCGGAAGTAATCGGGGAGTACTCGGTAATTCATATAGAAATATTTTTAGGAAAATTTTATATGTCAAAATCATAAGTTAAAATCATAATTTGATTGAAATATATAACAAAATTAGATACAAGTGAATACATAAAAACTAAAATACACACAATTATCTCACTTCGTGAATAATTAATGAAAATTTAAGATATATATGTAGTAATAATCACATGTGTGTATTAAATAATAAATCATTAAGTGTATTATACATATTAATCTTGAAATTCTTGATTTTTTCTCTTTTGATGACAATTTTGACCTTTTGACCTTGTTTGACCGAGTTTGCCGAGTTTGAATTTGTTGACCGAGTAGGCCCGAGTAACACCAAGAAGTACCGAGTAGGCCCGAGTTAGAGAGATGTTGACCGAATTTTGACCGAGTTTGACTTAATCCGAGTTTTTTTCCGAGTTCGCATAAATCGCCTTGGTGGAGGGCCGATTCGGCCGAGTACTCGGCCGAGTAGGCCGAGTTTTGCAACACTGTTAATATATCTTAAATTTTCAATAATTACTCACGAAGTGGGATCATTGTGTGTTTTTCAGTTTTTGTGTATTCACATGTATATAATTTTGTTATATATTTCAAGCAACTTATGGTCTTAACTTATGATTTTGACATATAGAATTTCCCTTAAGATATTTCTACATGAATTACCGAATCTGAATACTCCCGAGTACTCGCTACTCGGCCGAACAGGTACCGAGTAGCGAGTTCTACAACCATGGTATATAATTTAATGTTTCCGGCAGTATCTCCGGCAACCCCCTCATCTCTAGTGCCAAGTAAGTCGACACCTCACCGAATCCTGGTAAGTCCTCTTTGGCCTCTCCTCTGTTTAGGTTAAGGATCGTCGACTAATATTTGTTTTTGGGACATAGGTCATTTTGTGACTCAACTCCTCTAGTTGGAAGCTTGACAGGCGACATCAACTTTTCTTTACCTTATTGTTGTTGTTTTTGTCTTTTGGTGACATAATTTGTTTGATTAGGTTTATTATGTTTTTTTATGAAGTTATTTTTTATTTTATGTTAAATTAAATATTACTTTGACTTTGCCGCGAATCTTTTTTAAATAATTTTTTTTGAAATTCATAATTCATAATTCATAATACTTAATACAATTGTTTCAAATCTATTCTAATAAAAGAGTCTTGATTTTGGCACGTGTCACTTTTACATCCCATATTCCTTCAAACTAAATTGACCATAATGCCCTTATTTTGTTTAAATTTAGTACACTGTTAATTTTCCACCAATTTCGCTTAAGTATAACATAGCCGTCATTGTCACTGAAAACCCTACATAAAAAAAAATATCGTTGTCTCCCTCTCTTCCCTTCCGTGCCTCTTCGTTTCCAAGATGAAGCAACGACCAATGTTGCCTCCTCAAAGATTTGAAGCATATACATCGAAGACAGGTACATTTTTTAAATAGTATGCATGTGTGGATCTAACAGGGGTTTCCCCTCTTGTGGGCTTGGGGAGTGGAGTTTTCACTATGAGGCAAGCTGCTTTAAAAGCTGCATCAAGCAAAGTGGAAAAACATGAGAAAGCGTGCATGGAAAATCAACAAACGTTTATACCCTTTGCATTTGATACTTTTGGTTTCTTTGCGCCAGAAGCTGTGGAGCTACTCAATAGAGTATAACGGTTCATGCATAGTAATGTTATGACTCTAAGATCTATAGATGTTGTTTTTAAAAGAATTAGTTTTGCCATCCAAAAAGGGGTTGCAACACAACTTGTTGCTCGTTTACCCGCTACGTCTATGTAAATCTTTCTTATGGAACTTAAATATAATGTATTTTAAAAAAAAATAAAATTGAACTGATTCTTGATTAAACCCAACAAACTACATGTGAGTTAAGCAGAACCATTGGTCTCCATGCCACCGTCTCCATCATCTCCAACGAAAACCCTAAATCTTATAACCGTAAATCGACAATCACCACCGGCTCGATATCGTAACCACCACTACGACCTAGCACACCATGTAACCCCAGAACCATCTCACCATCTTTTTATCTATATGTTAATATCCAGATACCCTAATGGCAGTAGGAAGCGGCAGATCGGGTATAGGTAAATGTATAAATATCTTTGCTCTTTTGAAATTGTCCTGCACCACCATTGTCACAACTTCATCATTCTCTCTTTTTACTAATCTAATGTTTGATTTTGTCTAATTTCATTAGTTTTACATCCCAAATATACGAAGTCCTTTCTTTATCTTATATCTATCTTTATGTCTTTTTACTGAATCTTAGTGTTTTTCTTCTTTGAAATGAAGCTTAACAGTGTGATACTACCTTGCTATGTTGTTGATATTGTCATGTTACCTCTATGTTGTTGGTAAGATGGCACTTTGCGGCCTGTTGTTTCTAGAATCAGGTATGTATCATCATTTTGTTATTGGTAATGTTTTTTCTCACATGAAGTTTCTTTTTTTGAAGATAATAAGTTGCTTGTGTCCAAATTTCATCATTTATCTTATATTGTTATTTTCAAAGATTATAAACATGATATTATTTTCTGATAACGGTTAAAATGTTTGGTGGCATTGGGAAAAATGGAAGGAGCATGATTGGATGACCCTACAAGGAATCAAACATCCTCTTGCATTTACAGGTCACAAAATGTACTTATACTCTATAATAGTAATAAACTTTAGATTATTTGTTTATTATATTATTCTATTTTAAAAGTTGGTTGCTATTCCAAAGGATGTCTTAATAATAAGCTTATATTTTTAAGTAAAATTATGAAGTTGTACGTACTGTAAAAACTTATCTTTTGTTACTATGTTGCATCAATCCTGGGGGTATAACCTAAAAATATATTTGCTAAGCAACCACTTAAAATAGGTTATGAGTGATTCTTCTTTCTATGTTGAACTTAGTTTATTAGTGATTTTTTTCCTATTGATTGTTATATAATAGCTAATATATCACAAATGGATAATTGAATGTGATGTCTAGACTATGATATTTGAACGCATTCATTTTTAGTTCAACTGCCATGACATCATGTTTTATTCTTTTTGTTTAATATTATTTTTGTGGCATCATGTTTTATTCTTTTTGTTTGATATTATTTTTGTATTCTCACCCGCAAATTAAAAAAAATGGAGAAGAAATTATGTTTTACTAATCTATTTTCTAATGTGTTGTCTCACATGCTGATAGGAGTTGAGGAAAGATTGAAACTTTGGAAGTGTTGCCGCTAGAATGAAGGGGTGGATTATAGTGCTCAAAACAGACCCTTTGGTCTGTTATCAATTTATCGAAATCATCCTTGCTAAGTAGCGTTGGACGTAATTCAAATGCGTGCAGAGCATATTTTTAGGTTATATAATGAAATTCTTAAGTATGTGGCATTGGTTTTAAAAGTGATTAAGGTTTAATTTTTTTATTATTAAATTTTCTTATTGTCAGAATTTTATTTAATGGGTATGGTAGAGTTTTAGATGAAAAAAAGTTTGTGGTGGGATCATAAGTGGCTACTTTTTTGGCAATTGAGATTAGTGAATTGGGATCTTGCAATGTTTAAAATAATTGAGGAATATACTAACTGTGAATGTGGTTTTATTTATGTTTGAGGACCAAATATCCTTATACATTTTTGGAAATTTGTGTTCTTTACAAACATATTATAGGGCTAGGTTAATTTGTTTCTTACATTTATTGTGTGCTAGAATTCACCAATAAGAATTCAGTAAAATTAAATAATAAATATAGATATTAAATGATTTCCATAATTGTATGTATATTAATTGATATCCATAATTATAATTCTCTTTTTATGGAAACTAATTACATTCGTCATTAATGTCAACAATAACATTCTTTCAGAATGAATTTGTATATAGGTTTTTATGTATGAGTTCGTTTTTTGTTTCAGGACTCACTCACTTAAAATACAATAAAACTGCATTGAATATGAAGAACGACAGTGTATTATACTAGAATACCCTCTCATTCTGCTAAAATACACTCTCATTCTTCTATATACAAATTCATTCTGAAAAAATATTATTGTTGAAATTAATGATGAATTTAATTAGTTTCCATAAAAAGAAATTATAAGTATGAATATCATTTAATATACATATAATTTTTACTAAATTCTTATTGGTGCATTCTAGCACACAATAGATGTGAGAAACATTTGAACCTACCTCACATATTATATTCTTATGTTAACTCATAAGTATTTATATGCTTCAAATGGACAATGCATCTCTAAGAAAATCAAACATGGTATTGGTGAAGTTTAAACGATTAAAAGTATAATCAAATACTTATTATTACATATTGCAAATGCGATTAATAAAATATAAACCATATATTTTCAACTGAAAATAGTAACATACTTTTGTTTGTAACTAAAAAACTACACATTTTTACTTCAATTAAAAAGAACAATATATTTGTATCTTTTAACTACAACAGACATATACTTTTATTTCAAATCCAAAAAGGAAATGTATTTATATTTTAACTCTAACAAAAATATAATTTTATTTTTAGCTCAATCTGATATACATTTTTCTTATAGATTTATGATTATAACTATCTTTTGTTTTTTAATTAAATGTCTTCACATATAGAAAATGTTTTCGGATATTCAAATAAATTTATATATTAATTTTAAATGATCAATTCAAAAGTTTAAACAAAAATTATATGTTATTAGTTTAATAAAATTTTGTAAATTTTTTACCCGTGGTTTCCATGTTGTAACGTAGTTATAAATAAATTCTCTAAGAAAACGACATTTGGAGCAACCTAGTGTGTAGTTTACTCCCTCTTAAACTAATATCATGATTTTAGGAAACTACAATGAATGGGACATATTAGTTATTTCCAAAGGGGAAAATTTAACGCACTGAAAGTCGACCAGAGTTGAAAGTCGGAGACTTTAACTGAGACACGCTTACGCAACAATGGTGGCTTCTATCTTCGACTCTTCGTTGACCCCATAAACCGAAAAATACTCTCGATTACTTTTCCCCTCAAAATATCACACAATCATTTCCTAATTTCTTCCTATCTTGTAAACGGCCCCAAACCCCTTCCACCCTTCTTCAAATTCCTCTTCAGTTTTGCATTTGTTACCAGTAACGCTTGAATTTCTGTGCCAATTCATTCAATTTGTTTGTTCAAGAACGCTCTACGCGATGGTTTTGATCAAAGAATTGTATCCTTCTCCCTAATTCCAATGCAATTTGATATGGGTTTCCTGTTTTTTGTGTGTGTTTTACTAACTTAGTAATTAGTATGCAATCACGGGAATATCCCAGATGAATGTCCGACTTTTCGGGGGAATTTCCAAGAAAATTGTTTTGTGAGTATATGCCGTAGAATAAAGTCGATGTTTCCCTCTATGATATTCGTTTTCTTCTTTAATTACTTCAATATTAATATATTATAATCATATTCTTTCATAGTATTTTCGTCGAACAGTTTATATGCATCTTATATGTGACAACAATCTATTCTGGTGTTTTCGTAACTCAAACTTTCTTGCCTCGATGTTTGTCTAAAACAGTCGGATTGTCATGCCGTTGTCATTAGAGGAGGTATTTAACTATTTATATATCAGAGTTGCAGCGTATTCAAAAATCAAATGGTTTCTAGTTTCGTGTTTCAGTAGATAAAAAATAATGTTTTTTTTTTTTTTGAAATTTGCAGTATCAGGTAGCGCAGATGTATATGGTAACGAAAATGCAACAGCAGAACACTAACAACACAGAAGGGGTTGATGTTTTAGAGAGTAGAAACTTTGAAGATGGTTTATTTGGAAAGGGAAGATACACATCCAAAGTTTATCGTCTCCAAAGGTAATGAAAACCACATTAATGTCTAATTTTACTAAATCCACTCTTCCCTTTCAAAATTGATTATTTTGGGTGATTTCGATCAAAAACCCTAAAGCATGTTCACTGAATCCGGTTTTTGAAAATTGAATGTCTTTTCATGCTTTTATATCAAACGACTTTGAAAAGATAATGCAATTCGTGGGTCTTATTCACTTGATTTTTATTTATATTAAAGAAAAGATATGATCTTGGGTCCAGTTTCTTGATTCAATTTGATTGTGTCAAATACTTGTATAAACTTTATGTCAAGTCAAACATTACAACTTTCAGATATTAAAAGTCGATGTTTTATTCTTAATTGTATTATTCGCTTAATTTTTTTGTTTATATTAAAAAGTAAAATACGATGCTATTTTTTTTTTCAATATACAGCAAGGCGCCTACGTGGCTTAGTACTTTTGCTCCAACAGATGCTCTAACAATGCAAGAGGAAGCTTGGAACGCTTACCCAAAATGCAAAACAGGTTTGACTTCTTGAGTTGACTTTTTTTTTTTTTTAGTTATAAAATAATTTTTTACTCACATACTTATTTGTTTTACGAAACTACATGGGATATCGACAGTAATTAAGGTAATCTATCAACTTTTGTCTTTAGTTTTTAATTTACCTTTTATTCGTCTCATATGAATTTTTATTTTTTAACTTTGTCACGCTTTTTCTTTGTAGTGTCCATATTTCTCAAGTTTTACATTAACAGTTGAAACCATTCATAAAGCGGACAATGGACACTCAGAAAATGTAAGCTGCATAATATTAATAATTTTTCATATTTTTGTGTTTTATGCTTCATCAAATGTACTTCAATTATTTAAAATTTTCATTTAGGAAAAATTGCGAATAATGTACACAATGTACTTTATCTTTTGTACCCATAATAGCAAACGTACTTAATTTCTTTATTGAGAATAAAGTACATTTTGCGATTTTAATAACAATTTGGTTTCTAACATACATTTTTTTTATGTAGGTTCATGGTTTAAACAAACAAAAGTTAGGCAATAGGGAGGTTGAAATCATTGATATTGCTTCAACATCAGATGATTATTGGAGTTATGTAATTGGTAGTAACAATGTTGACTTTTCAAAATTTCAATCTGCAAGAACGGGTCGTGGGCCCCTCTTACAAGGATGGCAGGTTGCTTTTTAATTTAATCTCATCTTTTTTCAATATTTTTTTTATGAAAAAAAATGAATAAATGCAAGAAATAGCAATGTACTTTCTTAGATTTGTTTTACATCGCATCTCACTATCATTTTTTTTTGTATTGTAGCATTGTACTTTAAAAATGTACTCAGATATAACAATGTCATCCAAATACAAATGAATTTAATTGGATAGTTTTTTTAAGGGTTGATCACATAAAAGACTTTATGTTTTGTGTTTTTTCCGGATTAAACCTCAAATTTCTTTTTTGACTGAAAAAGACCTTGTATTTTTTCACTTTTTCCGATCTGGCCCTTTTAGTTATTTTATTTTTTTTCAAAAACAATTGTAAAATGTGAGGTTTTTTTTGAGAAAAACCAAAAAGTTGAGGGTTTATTTGGAATTAGTTAGAAGAATGAGGTTTTTTTTTTCGAAAAAAAAAATACAAAGTTGAGGGCTTTTTCGGAAAAAATGAAAAAATGGAAGGTCTTTTTCAAGCAAAAGGTAAATTTGAGGTTTAATCCGATAAACAAAAAGAAAACAAAATATAAGGTTTTTTTATGAGATTAACCCTTTTTCTGAAAAAAACCTTCAACCTTCCAATTATTTCCAAATAAACCCTCAACCTTTTTAGTTTTTCTCGAAAAAAACTCAAATTTTACAATTTTTTTTTAGAAAAAAATGTCTAAAAGTTCCGGATCGGAAAAAATGAAAAAATACAAGGTCTTTTTCAGGCAAAAAATAAATTTGAGGTTTAATCCAGAAAAAACACAAAATATGAGGCCTTTCATGATATTAACACTTTTTTGAAACATAATGTTGTAATAAAGAAAAAAACAATTGAAAGTAAAAAGCTACACTTTGGGAGCTTTTATAAGGTTGTAATACAAACAAATGGAATTACATGCACAAATGAATGAAACTACCTTGCTATTTCTTGCATTTAGCCATAAAAAAAAGATTTTCCTCTACTCTTGTATTAAAATTGTTTAAGTTTTAATGGTTAGTTGATATATAAGGGGTGATGATTTATTTTCAGGATGAGTGTAAACCCGTTATGACAGCATACAAATTGGTGACTGTAGATGCTCCTTATTGGGGTTTTGGTAGTCGCCTTGAACAAGCTTTAATTGCGGTATTTCTTTCGCCTTAATCTTCTACATATAAAATTTTGTATAATATATATTTCATATTTGTTTTAAGAAAAGTGCTTAGTTGTTGTCGATATATATATATATATATATATATATATATATATATATATATATATATATATATATATATATATAATGGCTACTTGGAAAGTTGTGTAAAGGGTCTACAATGATTACAATATCCTAAAAAAGGTTGTATTATTATTATTTTATTAGTATAGCTTTTGTAAAAAAGTGAAATGAAAGAAAAGAGTATTACACTTTCGTATATTTGTTTATTGTAACATTATCCTAGTTCCATATTATCCAATTACAACATGTAGTTTGAATAAGTTGTATAAGTATAGCGATGTCATCCAAATACAAAACAATTTTTAACTAATAAGAAAAAAAATCAAACGTAACAATATGCTATAATTGTGTAGATGTTTCAAAGTACAATGTCTGAATAAAAAAAAACAATTGAAAATACAATGATGTATATTTTAAAATGAAGTTCGAATGCTATATTATTAAATTAATTAAAGTACATTGGTAACTCTTGCATTTACCCTTTTGTAAAAATTTAAAAAAAGTTGGAGAAAAAAATGTTGCCGAGTCAACCTAACTTGATTGACTTGTTTTGACCCGTTACCACAATAGAATGAGACGCTTTTTTGAGAAGATAATGGCATTGGAAAAATGGAAGGAAAATGTAAATGAGGACAAATTTGTAAATAGTTAGAACTTAATGGGGAAAGTCTGAGTTTCATTTTATTATTTTTTGATTATTTTTTAAATTTACCATTTTGTGGACGTGTTTTTTTGTAGGGTGAAAGGGCATTGTTTCTTGAAAGCCATCGTAATATTTTTGCTTGGATAGATGAATGGTATGGCATGACCATGAAAATGATGCGTGATGTTGAAAAACAAAGTATTCCATTGTATCACGAGGTAAAAATATCAAAAGACTATTATACCCCTTTGAAGACACTTATAGTTGACATGAAATATTTGTTATTGTAGGAGCCTCTTGAGAGCCCGTTCTAGTTCTTATTATGATGATGCAGGATAAACAAAGCAAACAATCTTTTTTTTTTTTTTTTTTTTTTAATTTCCTGTCGATAATATATAGATACTTTTTTTTTCTTTTAATTTCATTATAAGTAGTTTATAGAAAATGATTTATATTGTTGAATGAAAAGGAAGAGTGTTTTATTGCTCTTTCTATAAAGGGGTTCAACAAGGAAAGTTGTCAAAAAAAAAATGTTAGAATATTTGTCAAATGAGAAGGAATCCTAGGTGCTAAAAAAATTTAAACATGAACAATGTTTGATTGAACGATATCAATCAAACAAGGATTAGTTCAAGAATTTTGTTAGTAGATTTGATAAGAGAAAATTGCACAATGTTGATATGCCAATGTGATTACTTCAGCATATGGACCGAAAATGGGACTTAATATTCATGGTTAAGTTGTACAATAAATTGAAATATGATTGAAAGTAGGCGCTATCTTAATACAATTTGCAACAACGTTGGTATGCCAACCTCAAAATCTCCTAAAATCTGATTCAAATTGACATAACATTTATAGATAAATAGAATTGTATTAAATTGATTCGTTTAAGGAATAGATTTAATTGCAACTTCAAATATGGAAGAAACAAAGTCGAATAACTACAACTAGTGTCTGGGTTCCATTTTGGTCTTAAGTTGTCTTTGTTCATTGTTCATAGAGGGTCCTTAAACCTACTTTTTGGGTCTCGTTTTGGTTCTTTTACCATCTACTATCAATTTTGAATTTCCTCTTAACTTTTTGGCCGAAGGAACTATTTGAAGGATTGAAAAGATTGAATTACAATAACAAAAGTTAACAATAATAATGTAAAGTAAGTATGAACACTTAGACCAATCGGTATGGGACGCCTTAACGACGTTTTTGCCTACGTGGACGAGCCACAACGCCGTCCTAAATGAACTGTTTGAACATTAGATCGTTGTCAAACGGTCAAATTGTAATAAAAAAATTACTTTTTAATTTTTTACTATAAATACAACATATTAACCCACAAACAACCACTCAACCACCACCAACATAACCACCACCACCAACACAACCATCGGTTGAAGTGCAAACATGAGGTAGTAGGAGAGGAAAAGGGAAAGAGAAATCTATAGCGGTTGAAACGGAAAGTGAGGAAGTTCCACAATTGTGGACACCAGTGGAGGAATATGCTTTGACGACGACATAGTGTAGTACTTCAAAAGATGAAATCTACGGTAATGGTATGAAGAAAGGTGCTTATTGGGGGCGGTGCTCGAAAAATTTCACGCTATGTTGAAGAAAAAACCATATCGCAATACGGACATGCTAAGCAACAAATGGAGTCAAGTATCTAAGTAGTGCACAAAATTCAATGGTATTTATACAAGACTTCAGTTGCAACAGCAGAGCAGAGCAAACGACTTTGATTTTTTCAAATCTACAAAAGAACAATATCGAGTCGAAATGGGACATTTGTTCGAGTTCGAGAAATCATGGGAGTTGCTGCGAGTGGATCTAAGGTGGAATAAAACTCCTACATTGTCGGAAGTGTAATCCAAGAGGTCTTGAAATTCGAGCTCGGTCAACGTGTCGGACGCACAGTGTAACATACACGTTCAGTTATCGTGTTATGTAATTTTAAAAGTGAAAAATATAATGAAATATTATATGAAGTTGAGCGTTGAGTTTTAACAGATAGTTTTTACTAGAAATGAAGTAAAACTATGTTTAGAATCACTCGGAAAATATTGGAAGTCTTATGAGATTCCAATCTAATGTCAAATATTGAAATTAACGAAAATATAAATTTGGAAATAAGTAAAAATAATGTTATTAAAAGTTGTAAAGAATCTCGTTAGAAACGTTTAGGCGAAAACCTCATCGGAATCCGAGTTATAACGAAGAAGTTATGACTTATTGAAGTTTCGCGACAGAACCGGCACGACGTCATATGACGTAAAAAGTGAGTTTTCGATAAACTACTTTTTAGCCTTTATAATCTAAATGAAAGTCGTAGTATTTGTTAAACCGGGAATTTTCATAAAAAGAACGTTAAAATTTGACTTCGTATGAGGAAGTTATGATTTTTCTAAGTTTCGGTATAGTAGTAGACAGCTAAAAACTCGAAATAAAGATCGGGTGAATTTTAGCCGACACAACCTAAATGAGAATCGAAGATCTCGTCGATTGTAGTTCAACGGTAAAAAGACAGACGAAAACGGACGTCAGATGAAGAAGTTATGAAAATTTAACGGACTTTTCCTGTCTCGGCCCGTTAAAAATATAATATTAAAAATAAAGTCAAAATTAGCCGACGGAGTCTAAATGAAAGATGTAGAGCATAATCTCACCTACGCGTGGATATAAAGAACGTCAAAAACGGAGCTCGTATGCAAAAGATATGGATTTTTGAAGTTCGGAGCACAAACTTCGAGAATTTGACTGCATTCACGACGTAAACACAGTGTTCACGACGTGAACTCAGTGAACGACGCGTTTCGAGCCTAGAAGACACACGGCAAGCCTAGGGGATGACCAGGATCAAAGTCACGACGTGAACATACATGGTTCACGACGTGAGAGTCGAATTTTCAGCCTATAAATAGAAATCAAGCCCTCCGGGTTTATGTTACAAATTCTTACTCTCTTTCACTCTCTAGCCTCTCTCAAGCCCCTCTAACACCCTCCGAAGTCCCGGTATCATCCCTGACACCCGAAGCAAGTCCCGATGCTCCGAAGTTCCTGAGAAAATTATATTTTCAAGTTGAAACTCTGTCCGTGTAAGGACGGTTTTCAACTAAAATCCCCGGTTTCATCGTTGAAAGTCATATTTAGAGCTGAAGTGCTGCCAAAAATATCATTTATTCCTTCGGTTATTTCACGGTGAGTTCAATATATAGGAACAATTGTATGTTATGTGTTATATGTGCTATGTGCTTTTCCGTGTTATCATCTCGTGTTATTATTTCCGCTATTTTGATAGCAAACTTGTACCTTTGACCATGTGATCAGTTAAAGGACTTAGATTCATAATGATATTGGTATGTAGCCTCGGGCCATGTAGAGCATGTCTCGTAAGAGAATGACTTCTATTCTATGGCATTGGCAGAAGGTTAGACAGGGCTGAAAGCCTGAAATCTACCAAAATGTTTAATCAGAAAGTGTATGTCTTCTGTGCCATTTGGGCCGAAGTGTTATTGATGTATATCAAGTATTGAAATTGTTATGCCTTATTGATTGATATGGAAAGCTTGTCGCATGATTCACATATGCCTTTATTGTTCCTTGTTCCCTTTGCTTCTGCCATATTGAAGTATATATATATATATATGGCATAACGTTGTATTGTATCTACTATTGAACTCACTAAGCGTCACCGCTTACCCCTCTCAATGTTTAACAATTGCAGGAGATAAGTAAACAATATAGTCGTATACTGTTGGAAGGTTTAGAATAGTTATTATATTACTTTTGTATTTAGGGATCATGTATGTATAAAAGTATAGTAACCTGGGTAGTTGTGTAATATATAACACTTTTTTAATAGTCGGTTTGTATCCAGTAGTTTGTAATCACTTTATCAATGTAAAATATTGTTTTTATGAATATGCATGTAGCATGTTTTGGAGTGACAATATCTTTAGTACGAAAGTTAGGGTCTTTCACACAGACTCACATTGACCTAAACACTAACACCAGTGAGATCCTGGATGATATCGAGGATATCTCTCCACCACGACAACCACCCGGACGACAAAGCGATGCACGTTGCAAGGCATGCAGAGGAAGTTGATGCGAAAGCGAAATTCGATGATCACAATTTATTACAAAAAGAAAAAAATGAGTTGAAACATCACCACTTGGAGTTCCTAGAAAGGCATGCACGGGAGAAGCAAAAGCAAAAAGAGAGAACTAATGACACAACAGTTGTCAATTCTTCAAACTAGCAAGGAGGGTTTGGCGCCTCAAGATCTGGCGGTGCTACATGCGATGAATGATCAAATTAGGAAGAATTATTTGGGGTAATTAGGATTAGTAGTAAAATGTTATGGTTTTAGGTTTAACTTAAATGTTATTTGGGTTAATTAGGACTAGGAAAAAATACTATGGTTTAAAATTAATGTTTTTTATTGTAATCTTAATTTTAGTTTTTAAAAATTATATCTTTTTTTTTTGTTTTTTAAATATTATGTTTTATAAAAATATATTTGTTTTATTAATTAAAAAAAAGAAACACGAAAAAGAAATAAAACAAACTCGAAAAAAAAATTAAAAAAAAATATGACATGGAAAATATCGGTATTATAACATTGTTATAACATGAAAACAATTTCCTTGTTTGGTGTTATAACACCATTGCTTATGTGGCATGTGAGGTGGCACCAAATTGGTGTTATATCTAGCTGCCCACACCCAATGTTCTTAAAGAAATATGAAGAACAATAAACTTGGAAAAGAAATCAACTTTTCATCGACCGGAAAACCAACGTGCTACATTACATGGTGTGTTAGAGCACCTATTTAGAGAGGAACAATGTATGGGATCATGTGGACTATAAAGTTGCATATGAGGTTGTAGTACAAATGACACTTTACAAACTAATATGATACGTACCATGACACAAAATATACGTTGTACTATATTACAAAATGTCAAACAACATATTAACTACAACTAACATCTTCGGTTCACATAAGCGAAAGAGACTTCAATTGTAGTAGTCCTTGGTTGGCTAGAAGTCTCTTGGTGAAGGTCACTTCTTGTTTCAACACTGTTGCCTTAGTGTTATTTACTTCAAAAACAGTTTTGTCCTCAAGAGGTCCTTAAACTTATTTATGTTTGTTTCATTTTGGCTATTTTTACATGCCATGCCTATTTCCTGGCTTCTTGTTGACTTAAAAATTTCACCCAATGTGACATTATGAAATACACATCTTTATATTTAATTGATTAATTTTTTTTCAAAATAAAATGTTACAAGCAACTAAATGGACATATGCTCCAATCAATCCAATTTAATCCCCCATTTTCATTCA